ACTATGGGAAAAGCTGCTTTTTCTCGTGGCAGAACAGAATTTCCTAGACATCACCTATACCCCTTTCTGTAAGCACACAAATGTTTTGAGGGTGAAAAAAGTACTGAGTCAGTCTTACTGAGTACCATCACTTCTAAGTTACTTCACTTTCCAAGTATCAAGACATCTGCATTGTTTTACTGCAACATCTTTTTTTTTTTTAATTAAAAACAAATCTGTCAACAAAATATCATCCTTTTCCAAACCTGCCTCTTCTGAAATTGTTTGAATCCCCTCAACAAATTTCCGTTATAATTCAGAGAACAGTACTGTGAAATCCACAGTTAATGAATCAGAGCAATTTCTCTCTCAGACATTACAAGAAAGCACTAGGCGTGCATCCAATGGAAGAGAATGTTCTGTGTTGATAAGGGGCTGCCTGTATCTGAATACACAAACATAACTACCCCAACTGCTGTGAGGAGGCCTGGAGGCTCTCAGGTTGACTGAGGCAGGGGAGAGGGCCTCTGGAGACACCAAGAAGTATTTGCATGTTTAGCTACCACTGAGTGAACAGTGAAATATTTGATTACCTTTCTGGCAATATCCCGTAGCTTTCTGAAGAAGTCATCAGAAGCATGATTGTCCCCACCCTCTGACTGTATTGGTTCTACAATGATTCCAGCCACAATCTTCTTCTTTTTCCTGTACTTTACAATCAGGTCTTCCACCTGTAAATCAGACATTTATGGTACATTCGCCTTTCAGGAATTTGTACATTTCCTCCTAGAAAGGTTAAGTCTCAGCAACACAACTTCAACAGTTCAGAGGCATTCCTGGCTATAAAGGTGTTAGGAACCCTGAGGTTTGGCACGTTTGCATAAGAAAAATGTGCCCCCAGCGCACCACAACCCCTCTGTAGTTTGTGTGGTGCTCCAAAATGTGCCCTATTTCAGTTCCAGTCACAGGGCACACCATGCCTTGCTCCCCACCACCACCTCAAAAGAGATCCCTGGAAGTGGCAGATCCTGGATCCCAGTAAGCCCAACAGGCAGTCACATGGTTCTGGTACCTGGAGACAGTTTTCCTCCCTTAAATGCTGCTCTGGCCACCTTTCTTCTCTCCGGGGCTAGAGAAGGCACAAAATCCCTGCCCACTCCCTCCCTGCAGCCATAGGTAGGACCACAGCCAGAAAGCTACCACAGAAAAGCTGAAAAACCTGAAAACACTGTTCCAGGTTCTCTTTGCAGAGGATTATACACACTGTGCTAGCTCTTTGCGAGCGTCCCTTTGCAAGATCTGGCAGACAGGTTCAGTGTGATACACAGAACTTCTCCTGCGTGTGGTATTTCACTTCGGTAGGGTTCATGTAGACCTCCAACTCACAGTAAGCTTAGCTGTTCCTCTGAAAGGCAGGGACAAACTCTGGACAGTAAACAACAGTGAATGCTGCTTTAATCTCATGCTGCTCCAACCCCTGAAAACATTCTTCTAGTGAAAACCAGCTAATCCTACTAATACTATTCATTATTTAAAAAAAAAAAAAGCAGCTACAAAGCTGCCAGGGAATTTTTTTACCTCCTCTAAACAACGGGCTTCTTCCTGTTGATTCTCCTTCACAAAGTCTTCCAGAGGATACTTTAGCCTTGGAAATGGAGCAATAGGCCAGTCCAGCGATGGAATGTCCAATTTGTGAATTGCTTTAGAGTGAGTTGTAGCTAAGCAACCTAAACCCAGAAAAACAAAAATTGAAGTAATACCTGTCTAGGAACAATACAGGAAAAATGCTACCCAGAGGTGAAAAACTGCCTCACACCAGGACTGTAGAATTCTCTAATTGCTCTGGTTTTACTTTAGTTTCTGAAATACTGGGTAATTTGTTTAGCTAAGCTTAGTGAATTGCTCCAGCTTTTAAGTGTCAGGTTCCACATGCACAGTTGCCAAAGAACAGGAGAACCTCTGTCAATGTGAAAAGGGTGCTTAGATGAGATGAGTTTCACCTGACCAAATACAACTGCTTGCAAAGCTCAGAATGGGTGATGTGTTTACAACAGGGATCGAGCCAATATAAGATGGCAAAAATTAGTGACTTCTTGTGCGCATGTTGTGGTGATTTTACCCAGAAGTTACTTTTTTACTAGTACAGATAGAAACGTCAGATTCAGAATGAACATAAGAGACCTTCTGAAAATAATTATAATATATATAACATTAATTCCCACTGCCACTCAAGCACTCTGTTTCAGTACTAGTGTGGCTTGCAAGGTTCTTCAGTAAGTCTACACCTCTCTAATGGAAAACAGGAGACTAAGGAAAATAAAACACTTCTCAGACAGTGCAGCACTGAGAGGAGGCAAAGGGAGGAGGAGGAGGAGGTGTGCCCATGCTTGTCTTACCCAGTGTCCTCCCGTGGAAGCTACCCATGAAGGAGAGCATGGCATAGTCGGGGCAGCCGGGGGGCTGGAGGAAGAGCAGACAGGCAGCAGTCAGGGACACGGACACACGGCAGCGCTGCTGCCTCCCTCAACACTCCCAGTGCAGGCTGCCGCCGTCAGGCACCAGGCAGCATTAGTCACCCATTTAAACATACACATTTGTCATCCCCTAATAACTGCCCAGCCTCCTCAAATACATCATTAATACTAATGAATACTTGGCAGCTTACACTGTATCACAGTAATTCTTCACACGAGGTCACACAAAGGCTGAACATTCAGTAGGATTGGCCCTTTTTGTACAAACTGTGAGCATGTGTATGGGATGCTTGGGGATGGTGATCACCAGAAGTGATCATTAGTTTTACATGTCCTACACCATCTTATAAAATTCCTGCTCCTTCAGGTCATGATGTGCCATGTTATTTGTACTGGACAGCCATCTGTCGGACCAGGCTGTGAGCAGCATCAAGAACTTCATAATTCTGAAGACAAACAAAGTAAGCCCAACAAAACCCTACAAGAACCCTCCTCATTTTTAAAGCCAAATGAGCTCCCTAATCCCATGTGAATGCACTGAATGCTTGTCACTACAGAAGTGCCATAGATCAGGCTGGGACCAGCATGTTCAAATTTGTGATTGCAAGAGCCAAATCACCATCCATCTATCATGTAGGCTCCTCAGGCGATGTTTAGGTTGGATATTAGGAAAGAATGTCTTCACCAAGAGGGTGGTCAGGCATTGGAACAGGCTGCCCAGGGCAGTGGTGGAATCACCGTCCCTGTACGTGTTCACAAACCACATGGACGAGGCCCTTAGTGACATGGTTTAGTGGTGGCCTTGGCAGTGCTGGGGTTGGACTTCATAATCTTAAAGGTCTTTTCCAACCTCATTGAGTCTATGATTCTATGATGCCATGAAAAAAGGGAGAGCTTCCCAAGATTTACAACTGGGAAGGATGCAAGAATACAAGCAGCAGGTCTTGATATTTGTTGGGAGCAGTTTATATTTCACCATTTTCTACATTTACAAGCCCGAAATTCCACTTAAAAGATAAAGCTGATTTTTCTTCCCAATCTTCCCTTATAAATCCAAGCCAATGGTACCTCTGAGGTGTGGAAAAGAGCAAACATCACCTGGTTAATTACGCAGGATTCCAGTTCCTCCTTTGTGACGTTGTTATGGCCCCTCTCCTTGTTCTGCAAAAAAAAACCAAAGAACCCAATGATAGTTTTCCTGTAGCTGTAACCAAAGCAGTTATAGCTGAACCACAAATTAGTGATGCTGGTATGCCAAATTAGAGCCAATGAACACACTGACAGTGGCTCCTAGATAGTGACTGCAATCTGCATGTTCTGTATTTCCTTTTCTTTGTAATTTCTAAAGTTGTATCAATACAAAGTGAAAGCTCAGATGAAGACTTTTAAATAAAGATTTTATACTAGGTTGAACATAATTAACACCATGAACAAGACAACCTCCAAGCCTTACTTTGGTTTACAGTAACAGTTCTGATAATGAATAAATTCTCATTTTACATTGAAGCCTGCAAAAATATCTTAATACTTTACTCACTCTGTACCACAGAAATATTGCTTTAAAGGCATTTTCATTAGAGCAGGATCCGCAAGCCATGGTGATCACCTGTGACAGGCCCTTAGGAGCCACCTGTCAATGAAGACAGAAAATTACTCCAAAATATTACACATAATATCACATAGTACAAAGTGGTGATAACACTGCTCAGTCGTTAACATCATGAGCTTCAGTATAATGGGAGACTAACTGAGTCTAGGATGAGGAAAGACAATTCCCTATCAAAGTCTGTAACATCCTTTGATTTGCCCGTGCCCAAAAGCACAGAACATGGTAACTCATCACTGCTATCTCAAACTTACTGATAACAAAGATTCCTTCAGTCTTTCTGCAAAGTTCTCTGGAGGCAAAATTCCTAGGGCAGGTCTGTTGACAAAAGTGCTCTAGAAAGACAAAGAAAGACAAATTGTTAGGTTTTACTATCATATAAAAAGGATCATGTTGATACCAAGGCAGTTACATTTTATTCTCATTACAAATACTTAGGCAGAAATTTGTATTGTGGCAAGAAGGGGTTTTAAAACCAGAGGACAATACTCATGTCTTAGAAAATGTTTTTCTGCCTCACTCTTAATACTTCATTCTTGCAGGACTCCTTAGAGAAGGGGCACACTAACTGATACTGACATCTCCTCTGCAGTATTGCCATTTTAGTTGCTCAATCTCGTTTTTCCTTATACACAGGGAATATACTTCAAAATCTTAATTATTTGTCTTTAGTTTGTATAGCTAAATCTAAACACAATTAGCATAGCAGCATTTTCTTCCTTATTGAGCCTCAAGACAGACCATTTCACAACACTGTTCTTATAAACATCCTCCAGATACTATTACAGTGGGAATCAGGGCAACAAGGCAAATGTGAACTTAAAGGATAGGGGCTACATCTGAGAAAGATAACACGCACGCAAGGATCAGCAACACAACACTACAAAAAAATAGATTCTTGACAAAAATTTGTGCTCATTGGCATGCTGTCTCCCTTCCAGACTCCTCAGGCATGTAGAGTAATGGGCAGTGCAGCACAGAGATGGTGAGAAGCTCCCCTGTATGTTATTACCCCAGTACTCAATATCATGCTTTTAATCACGCTCCAGAAGATTGACTGTGATATATCCAGACAGAGGTGCAGATTTGGGTACATGGAAAAGCTTTGTCACCAACAGTGAAGCCATGGAATGGGTTGCCTCAAGAGGCTGTACAGCCTCCCTCCTTGCAGACTGCATGATCCAGATAAAGCCCTGAGCAACCTAGTCTGACTCACACCTTTGAGAAAGGTACTTCTGGTGTCAGAAGGTATGGTGGGAATACTGAGCCACTGGCCCACACAGGCAATTCTGGAACACCCTCAGTCTCCCCAGTCCACTAACAGAGATTAATGTCGTGTTTATGCAATTAATGTAAATTAAGTGTCATGGATTAAAACTGACTCATCATTGCTCTTAGTCTTTGTAGCTAACCTTATTTGAGTCATAATGTGCTACTTCGTATTTTAAATTAAACTTGCTCAGGAAAAGACAAGCTCAATAAGTCTGCCACCTGCAAAGCAGCGTTATTTGCCCTTATTTTTGTTATTCTTCTTGTTATAACAAGTCATTGTTGAAATTAAAGGCTGAGCTTCAATGACTTATATCTTTATGGGTCTCCAGAGGGAACACGCTACCTCCGCCAAAACATCTGTATTTTCACTGCAACTCAAAGCTTGCACATTTATGAGCATCTTTCAATCTTTCTCCTCAATTTGTACTCATTTTTTTCAGACGTGTAGACCACAGCAAGGGGCACGAGTGGTCACTGTGCCTGCAAGAACACTACATCAGAATTCAGACGTGTAGACCACAGCAAGGGGCATGAATGGTCACTGTGCCTGCAAGAACACTGCATCAGAATTCAGACGTGTAGACCACAGCAAGGGGCATGAATGGTCACTGTGCCTGCAAGAACGCTGCATCAGGATTCAGACGTGTAGACCACAGCAAGGGGCATGAATGGTCACTGTGCCTGCAAGAACGCTGCATCAGAATTCAGACGTGTAGACCACAGCAAGGGGCATGAGTGGTCACTGTGCCTGCAAGAACACTGCATCAGGATTCAGACGTGTAGACCACAGCAAGGGGCATGAGTGATCACTGTGCCTGCAAGAACACTTCATCAGAATTCTTAGGGAAAAACAAAGATCACACGAGATGTAACAGAGTGTGAGATAGGACTTCGTAACTTGAACAAGTGTCTCATTTCCAAAACATCATTTCAACAGACTCAAGCTTAAAAACCCCCCACAACCTGAGCAAGGATGTTACTGACAGATTAACAAAAAGCTTTTGTTTAGTGTGTAAGAGAAATCTTACTTGACTTTTTGTCTCAGCTTAGAAGTAAATTTTCATCTCAAGTCAGATAAGAGGCCATAAATTTGTTGTGAATTTGATTATGGGCTCTCACAGTCAATTGACATTTGCTACTGAGCAGAAAGTTGTGTTTTTCTTTTGTTGTTAATGAGATGCTCAGCACTGACAAGAAGAGAACATTGACATCAAGCTGCTGTAGTCCCAGATGAACAGATGCGCATTCTGTTCTCTATACCTGGCTACAGAGAGGGTATGTGGAGCATTACAACCAACCAAATAAGAAAGCACTGATCCCATCATGAACAGTAATCAAGGGCCCTCCCTCAATGTGTACTGCTCAAAAGAAGTACTTTCACAATAAAGCTGGTGCTTTATCTGCAGGCAGAGCCCGGCACACACTCCTGTCTGCAGTGGGTTTGCCAGCACAGCTTCACCAAGGGCAAGTCCTGCCTGACCTACCTGGTGGCCTTCTATTACGGAGTTACTATTTCAGTGGACAAAGGAAGGGCTACGGATGTTGTCCATATGGACACCTGTAAAGCCTTTGACACGGTCCCTCACAACATCCTTCTCTCTAAATTGGAGATCTATGGATTTGATGGGTGGACTGTTCAGTGGAGGAGGAACTGGCTGGATGGTCACATCCAGAGGGTGGTGGTCAATGGCTCAATGTCTGGATGGACAAGAGTGACAAGTGGTTCCCTCAGGGGTCCATATTGGGACCAGTACTCTTCAATATCTTCATCAACAACAGACAGTGGGATTGAGTGTGCTGTCAGCAAGTCTGCAGATGATGCCAAACTGAGTACTGCAGCTGACATGCCTGAGGGACAGGAAGCCATCCAGAGGGACTTGGACAGGCTCAACAGGTGGGTCCATGTGAACCTGATGAGGTTCAACAGGGCCAAGTGCAGGGTCCTGCACCAGGGTCAGGGCAACCCTTGGTACCAATACAAGTTGGGGGATGAAGGCTTTAAGAGTAGGTCTGAGGAGAAGGACCTGGGGGTATTGGTGGATGAAAGACTGGAGATGACCCAGCAGTGTGTACTTGCAGCCCTGAAGGTCTATTGTATCTTGGGCTGCATTCAAAGAAGCACGGCTACCAGGTCAAGGGAGGTGATTCTGCCCCTCTGCTCTGCTCTGCTCTGGTGAGACCCCACCTGGAGCTCTGTGTTCAGCTCTGCACTCCTCAGTACAGGAAAAACATGGAGCTGTTGGAAAGGGTCCGGAGGAGGCCACAGAAATGATCAGTGATGGAGCACCTCTGCTATGAGGAATGACTGAGAGAGTTGGGGTTGTTCAGCCTGGAGAAGACAAGACTCTGGGAACACCTTTCTGCAGCCTTTCAGTTCTTAAAAGGGGGCTATAAGAAAGATGGGGAGAAACTTTTTAGGAAGTCCTATTGCAACAGGATGAGGGGTAAACAGGTTTAAACTAAAAGAGGGGAGATTCAGGCTGGACATGAGGAAGAAACTCTTTACAACGAGGGTGGTAAAATACTGGCACAGGTTGCCCAGCGAGGTGGTGGATGCACCATCCCCGGAGACATTCAAGGCCAGGCTGGACGTGGTTCTGAGTGATATGGTCTAGTTGAAGATGACATCCTGCCCAGGCCATACCCAGGCTAGAGCCTGCTGGATACCCAAAATGCACAGGGAGGTGCAGACTGATGTGGTTTAGTGCTGCCCTCCCAGTAGATTGGGGCAGGTTTCGGAAATCGGAATAGGGGACCAGCAAAAGCTTTGATGCTCATATGTGGGACAGAGGGGTCCTGGCTGCACTATCCACTCTGGGCTTTGGAGGCAGCTCCTTTGGAAGCAGCAGATCCCATCATACTTTAAAGTGAGTCATTAAGCATTATCAGTTTAAGAGAAAAGTCAGCATGCCCACCACAGGGAGGAGGGGATGCCTTCAAGTACTTCGTGTTTTAATTCACTTACCAAGTTCTGTGGCTGCTGCAGAAGCTTTATCAGAGACGGATGGCTGTAACCTAATAAAAAAGGAACAAAGAAAGAAAATAGTTATTTCCATCTGGTTTTAATAAACAAATGTTTAGATTAACCTAGACTATAACCTCAACTTAATGCTTGACTGCTTCTGTGTAACTTGTGTATGTTTTAGCAAATAGTAATAGAACTTCTTTTGAAGTTAATGTACTTTAGCTTCAAATATTTTTTACAAAATACATTAATCTGGAACTTTGGTACAAATTTTGTGTCAGGAAATAGCAAAACTTATGTAAGTACTGAAAGTTAAAAACTGAACACAAAAATAAATGAACAAGACATGGATCTTTTGCCTGACAAGGCCTAACTGAAGCATTATAGTTACTGTAGAACTATTAACCACTTGCTTGCTCTCCTTTCTAGATTTCCCACATGTACTTGGTTTCTGTACAGTGCAACATGTGAACCTCTCCTCTTCCTCAGTTAAGAGCAGCTTTGCATTCTGCCAGTGCAGCCCACAAGCTGTTGTTTCTGTAGGTCACCATTTAGCTCTGGTATAGAAGCATCTCCAGTCTCTCCTTCCTGACACAGGCTGCTTGCTATTCTCACTCACCACAACCCTGATCTGCTAGACTTGTGTGGCTTTCACCATGCAGTGACCACCCACCACTGTGGAGGGAAGGTCCCCATGCAGCTCTGTCCATTACAGTAGCTGGAGCTATGCCTTCATAGCAATCTTTATCATCCTTGAGTATCAGGCTGATTATTCCCAACACAGTGACAGAGCTTCCCCCCTCCCTTCCCCCCCTGTGCTTTCTAACTGACTGGATTTTTCTTCATTGCAAAGTCAACATTCCCCATTTCTTCCATGCCATTCCTCAGTATTTGGCAGCTGACCATACAAAACAGACATGCAAAAATCCACATTTACTGTTTTCCCAAAGAAAGCTCACTTAGGAATTGTAATTTCACTGCATTACAGTGTGCTAACAAAACGTCAGCAAGGGCTTTTTGTCCTTCAACAGTTCCAGCCAGGCAGTGCAGGGTAACCTTACTAGCACAGCCATGCTGTTCTCAGAGCTGCTGTTGGTTGCTGAAGAGCACATGCTATGCCAGACCCAGTAGGGACAAGCCCTGGGACTCTGGCAGAACTTTGCCAGTGGCTTTACAGCGCTCCTTGACATCAGTCGCAGTTGGGCAGCGTTCACCACACCACCCTCTGCAGTGCTACCTCCACACAATGTGCAGAGTGCTGCCAAAACTGGGTTTGAGAGTTGTGCCTCCATACTGTCCAGATTGTCAGGCAGTCATACACTGGCATTTATCTGCATGCATGAAGATTCACATTCCAGCCAGGCACACTGCAGATGTTCATGTGTGATCATTAACAGTCCCACGGGAAGGAAGAGGCTTTCTACACAGACAGTCATGCACTTGGACCTCGTGGGCTGTGATAAACACCCAAATCTAACCCGCCACAACCCATTCATCATTCCAAGACACCTGCCTGAAAATCTTTGTTTCTCATAAATTCATATACCTCAGCTGTGCATCACCATAAAAACACCCCGTTTGACAAACTGCTGTCTCGTATTAAAGCAGCAGATTCTGCTCTTTTCACTTTCTTTCATGACCAGTTTTTTGTTCCTTCTAGTTTTCCTTACTTGGGAAAAGATGCAACAATGTGTCCTTTTTATCCAGAAACACCAAGATACTAAGGATGCTTTGGATCTAACACAAGAAGGACTGATGCGACTTGCTTGCTTACCGGTAAACCAACCTATCTGATACAAAAAAAAAAAAACAACAAAGGAGCCCAAAATTTTCATTTGAAGCCTGATTTCTAATGTATGAAGTGCCAAATCCAGAGATTAACATCATCTTTTATATAGCCTTTTAGAAACAGTTGGAAACTTCATCTTCCCTACTGCTCAAGAAGTCAGCCCGCTCTAATTTTATCACAAAAGCTTATCAAGCCAGTGCAGCTGAATGACAACAGCCCTGATTATCCTGGCTGAGCAATGGAGCTTTAGGCTACTGCATTAACAAATCAATTATAAATTCTGTTTTGAGTATTTTAGTTCAAAACAAGGAAATGCACAGATTGTTTTAGCTGCATGTCATGCTGCAAAGAATCTGTTGAAATTATTATCAAGAGAATCCGAGCAGTTATTTGTGACACAGACAACTAAATCTGCATTGCACCTGCTGTCATGGGAAGAGCTGTTGCTAGGCTGGAAGCTGTGTCACTGTGAGCT